TTTCCATTGGGAATAAGAAGAATGCTGGGCAGGGGTTTCCTTGATAGCGCACATATGTTCTTATTTATGTTTAAATGCCTACTCCAACGCTTCCCGTAAGACAGAGACTTGGGGCATTTTACATGCGATATCACTATCCTAACCTAAACCTTACCCTAACCATAACCCTAACTCTAAACCTTAGCCTAACCCTAACCCTTACCCTAACACTTACCCTAACCCTTACCCGAACCCAAACCCTTAACCTAACCATAACCCTAACCCCAACCCTAACACTTACCCTAACCCTAACCATAAACCCAACCCTTACCCTAACCCTAACAGAAATTAATTGTGTAGGCATTTAAATATATATAAGAACATACGTGCGCTACCAAGGAAACTCCTGCCGAATGCTGATAGGTGTATCCGAAGCCGACTTTAAATTATTGTCTCGGCTGCATGAGTACCCTACCGTTTTCGGCTTTTGATATATGCAAACAATGTCCTATCACTTTATCTTCCACATACCGCTAAGTTTTTGTTAGCTTTTTTTTCTAGTAGTCTCATAATCTCTCTTGTATCGAACTTAACTTATTCGGGCCAATTGTGGCGGAGAATGCGCATAATTAAATGTATATGTGAGTCAACATAGATTTCTGAGTTTTCGAATAGAGCAGCTAAGATTATCGCCAGAAAATCTTGTATTACCCCCCTCCCTAAAATCACCTAACAAGTCACTAATATTGGAAACGTGGTGGGAATCGGAGATATACGGATGGGAAAGTTAAAAATTGGAAAAACTACCCAACAAAGATGCAGGAATAAAATCGTTTTATCAACTAGGCTTATTTGCCTTTTTTAGTTTCCTCTGAACTTACTGCGCGACCTTTGAATAAATCCTTCGGAACAGTCCTTCAGGTCGGCTTTGAAAGTTGGTATGAAGGACTCAACTGAAAATAAGGGGATTCGATCGTTGGGACAACACTTTTATTCGCCTGACGTCCCAACATCCGTCGCGGATTCCTCATCAGACATAAGCAGTAGCAGAAACAGGTAACACATGCACAACACCTGCTTCTGCTAATGTCTCTGATGAAGAATCCGTGACGGATTTCGAAATGTCAGGCTAATATAAAGTGTTGTCCCAGCGATCGAATCTTCTTCTCAATTAGTTCCTGGGACTCGCATGTTCGCTTGTTTTGACTGAGCTGAAGTCCGCAGTCTATTGTGGCATATCCGTGTAATATTCACAAGCTACCAACAAGCAGTCAGTAACATGTATCAAATACTGGATGATTTACTAGGCTGAGAGCATAGGCACTTGTTAAAAGCACAGACGCACACGTTTAGCCGAGCTTTTGCCACTGCACAAAGCACCTATGGAGGGGAGTCAGCTCATCATTGAGGTCCCCAGCAGCCCCCGTGAAGTTTCTGGTATGTGAACTCCAATTGCCATACATGCCTGGAAATTAAGCTAGTACATGTGCTCAGTCTGGTAAATCGTTTACTATGCTCATTTGTTCAAAGGTATAAATCGCTGAGGAAATTTTGGATTACGTCGGAAAAGGAATGCACAAGGATGTCAAAATGACTGTGTAGGCCGCCAACGATTATTATCGGCGATAACCACGCGCGCGTCAGTTGAGCCGAAGACTAAGGTCGTGAACATTTGTGCTACTTATTTTTTGAAAGTAGCATTAGACCGTTTTCTGATATTCAGGGGACAACTCACAAAGGGGCTATGGACACGTGACACTGTATCGGACTGGGGATAAATTAAAGATTAACATTAAGGCCACATAAGCTTAATCCAAACCCTAACCCAAGTCAGCAACCCGTTAACGAATGGTTTACTGGCTTTAAGGTGTTGTCGTACAGTAATTATTCCAAACTAACTCCAAGAAGTGCGTAGCAAGTGAGAATAGTCGCAG